TCCAACAGCCTAACCAATGCCGGGTTACATCTTGTCCGGATCAGCCAGTTCCTTCGGCAGTTCCAGCTGCATCACCTCTTAATTGTTGAACGCAAATTAAATTTTCTTGAACTTTCTTTAATGCAATTCTTGAACGCTTGAAAATTCTTGAACGCAAATTGTTCGAAAAGGTGGAACCTTCTGGCTTTTGGTTGTGAATTATTGACACCAGGAGTTATACTGAAGTTTAAGTGATTTTTCATCATGCATCGTTTCCTCCTTTGTTTTCAGTTACTCTCCCGGGGATGTGCTTATGGTTCATCCTTATAATTTACGCGAAACGCTTGAGATCGCCTTCGAAGCATTAGGTTACGACGACAGCTTATTAGACAGGCATTTAAAATTGCGCCCAACAGAAGCGGGATTTCAATTACCGCCGTCGTATCTTTTCAGAGGTGAAATTTTTTTTTTCAAAAACGCACGAGAAATGTTGTCTTGGTACTTTGATGAGATACTCACCGTGCTTTTCCTCACCATTTTCTCTGTAGTAGTTGGCAACTTCTTATTCCAGATGGGCTTTTGAGTGGATTTTATGAATGTGCACTTTTCCATTCTTAAAACAGATGAATGAAAAAGGAAGTGGATTGCAACTGCTGACTGAAAGTTGCATCGATTGGCGCACGTCAAGAATGCTTTCTTTGAGGATTGTTAGGTATGCCAATGTGTGGGATGTTTGTAGATGGTGTTACTTTACGACGATGTTTCGAGCGCTATTTTGATTTACAAATGGTTCCGCGAAAATCATTTTTTCGAACTCTTTGGAGGCTGTCAACAGTAGAACACGAGAAGGAAAGACTTCTGGAGCTAGCAAAAAATATCGTAAATTTTTTTTTGATTTTATTTTGGAAAGTGGACTTGTTTGTCGCTTGCTAAGTACAAGGCAGCATTGATTTGTGATGTTTCAGGACGAATATATGGATTATTGTTGGAGGCCAAGGCGAACTACAGCTGAAACGCTGAGAGATTTTCAAGCAACGGCACGAAATATCCCAATAGAAATGCTTTTTGATGTCTTCTCACCAATTCATCAACGAGCATTCAGTATTGCCTCGTGTCCAGTGACACACGAAAATGTTCACTTGCTTGTTGCTAAGGTAAATTTCTGTTTTGCGACAAGTGTTTGTATGCATCTTTGTACCTGACATAATAGTGCTGCTGGTTTTTGGGATGAGGGTTTCGATCCAAATTTCTCACACACACTCTTTTTTTCTATATTTTTTGCAAAAATATTGAAGAGAAACAGCAAAAGTCATTTTGAACGACTTCATTGCTCCTTCGATTTCGTTTCTCATTAAAATGGGCTCAATTCCGAAACACCTCTGTCCAGTAATTTTGTTCAGCAC